GAGTTACGAAGGTCAATTATTATAAGGATTGTAACAGAGTCTGTAATCGTAGGAGGTCAATTGTCAAAAATTTAAGAATGTCAGAAACGTCATTGGCAAGGCTCTCTTTCCCGCCCGACTACCGTAAGCAACATCGAGCGTGTAAGTGAATTTATTTAAGTTTAAATAATAAAATCTATAGCAGAATATTCTTTTTCTATATAGAATTAATTAATAAAGGTCGCTTTTATTTGGCATACATTTCAACACAATAATATAATTGATAATTACTAAAATGGATATAGATATAATGTACTCAGAATGAAATGATTTCTATTATTATTTTCTCTTTTAGACGCATTTGTAAAAACTATTGTGAATATTCCCTGGGGCGGCTATTCAAGTACTCTTTAGGAAAGTCGTAGTTCTGATATACGCGGCTTCCGTTTCATGTATTTTGTTATTGTTGAGGAAAATGTATTTATTTACTTATTGCAATTAAAAAAATATTCTAACAAATTTTACTATCAAATCAATTTACCTTTTTTTCATTAAATAACTGACATTTAAATAATGACAATCGAAGAATATTACTTTAATATTTTTCACATGATGGCACTATATAAATTCATAATCGATTTTTAATTTAATCGAAGAATATTATGTACATCGCTAGTTTGATCCATAACCGACGGCATTATCTGTAAAGGATCTCAAAAGTATAAAATATTATAGGCGATAGTGATGATGATTAAAATAAAATTTTAAGGGAATATCTTGTATGTCTCATAAATTAGGCTCAAATAATGATAGTAGGTATTATTTACGAAATAAATTTATAATTATAGTTTATTGTAATTATTAATTTATTTGGTAGATAGAAACGGTTAGCTCTTAACAAGTTTAACAAGACCTTCCAACTTTTATATAATACTTGCTTGTATCCGTGTATTTTTTACTAAAAGCAAGACTTATTTCTTGCTTAAACGGCCTCAAGAGAATAATATTGCAAAGACGATTAAGGGTCGCCGGAGGCAATGCGTTATCCCTAAGCTAGGGAATAACTTGGCGTAGCGCCAACGAGAAAATCTGAGGTCGTAGTTTGAATATCGACTTGAAAAGAAGGTACAAAGAAAAATGTCATCAGATAACACAAGTCTATTTCCATCCCTTTGTTTACTCATATTCGGGACTGAACTATGAATTTTGTATGATTTACCATTTAACTTAGAGTAAGTCGCGTTTTATGTGCAAAACTTGTTCATCGTATGTTTGAAATGAAGATTTTAATTAGTTACTGAACGAAGTATAATAACAATTCCTATTATCATATAATAAACATATACAAGAGTAAAACACAAAAGTAAGTAACACAGGTAATACAATCTAGACCTGTATATCAAAATAATATTTCTTCTACATATAGAATATCATATGTTTAGAGAGTTCTCACTATATATCTTCTATGCAGCTTTGAATTTCATTTCGGGTTAGTTTTGTATCACTTAAAAACATACTAAATCACATTTTCAACGATTTCTGCTACGATTTAGGGTTACCACAGTCAAGATATGAAATGTAATACTTTATACATACACATTGGTCGTGCCAAATAACAACATAATAAACAGCATAAAGGTATGGTTATTTTGTAATGTGATCAACGTTCATGAACAGATCAAAAGTCACTATATTAAAAGCTAAGCGATCTGACTTTTATAACACAAAACTGTATTCCAATCAAACGGAGCTTGTATTTACCATTATTCCCAAGCGTCTAAAAGCTAACAAGGGGATACACACCCGAAACATAATCAATCAACCTTCAGCTGGGACACTGTGTTTAGTAAAACGTATTTTTCAAGAGTAAATATACTTTACTTGTAAATACTAACTAATATCTAGTGTTGCTAAAAGCTTTCTTAAAAATTAATTAAAAAGCCAATGGTTATAAATTTATTGCTAAAAATTATGCCAAATGTGTACAAAAAGGCGAAAAAACAAAATTTGCGTGCGCTGTTGCGATTATTGATGATATGACAAAAATATGTTTCACTATATTAAAGATTACACAAAATCTTTCGCAATTACATATCTAACTCCACGTTGTCACCATGTGAAAGAAGTATCGTCCAAATATATAGTAGATAATGTTATTTATACTTCTGTTGAAATCCTTATCCAAATAAATGAGACTGTCTCAATTTATGTAGATGACTTTTTGAATTGTTCAAACCGCCTATTCTATTTAAAAAGAAATTACGAATTGAAAAAAGAATATGAAAAAAAATATCGCCGCGCCGTGTGATGTGGCTAACATTTTTTAAATAATTGTATTACAAGTTAAATACATCCAAAACAATTATAATAAAATATCCGAAGCTGAAACGGATCCCTGTAACTTTATTTGCATGCTTCATATAGCAAAACAGCATTTGAAACAATTACGTACTGTCTTTAGTTTACGCGAGTAGTACACATTTAAATAAAGAACTTTAACGGTTTTAAAATTGAAATATATTACTACTTATTTATACAGTATCTATTAACCCGTGACCACGGCTGCTGCAAAACATACGAAACATCGGGCCGTAGTTAAAATAATTTTTAAATATTAACTTATTTATAGTAGTAGTGAATATTAACTATTTTGCGTTTTAAACCGTTAGTGTTTTATTTCAATAAATACGTAAACATTACTAGTCAGTTATAGTTATATTCAATTCGTAAGTATACTTTTTACACTATTTTGTTATCGACCACTAAAGTATTTAATTGATATGAAGTTGTATAATATCAATTGTAAACAAGGAAATCTCTCAATTTATTCCGAATGAATAGTTATTAAAACATTAAGATTAGATAATTGATCCGTAGCGTACATGACACGAAATGCGTAAATTGCGTAGTTACAATAATTGCGTCTTTTATAATCTAGTAATTAAATGCGATGAGAATGGCTTCAAGGCCCTAATCCACCAAGGTACCTAAATGAAATAATTTATAATAATTTTATTTATAGTATAATAATAATTTAATAGCGTACTAGATATTTAGTATGTATTAGAAGACTAGCATGACGTGACGTGATTATTTATTTAGTTATGCCTAAAAGTAAGTTTGGGACCGTGGCTGCTGCTTTCCACGGATCCACCACGTGGACCAACGGGTCGTGGATTCGATCCCCACCGGGTCCAACAAGTTCCTATTTTTTTAATTTATAATTTTTTTGAAACTTGTCGGACTTCGTCTGCAAATCAGGATATTAATTGGGTGGTAAAAGTGTGAAAGCCCGTTTCCCCCTCGTGGGGCATGGGGCGAACACATTGCTTTGTCCGTTTCATTGATCCGTTCTTTTAACGGGCAAGTAGTTGATCAGACTTCTGTGCCCTGCCCGATCGAAACAATTTTTTGTTTCCCTGGGATTCGAACCCAGGACATCTCGTTCTCAACGCAAAGCTAGGCAATGCGTTTAACCATTTGGCTACTGGGGCGGTCACGGTTACACTACAGAGTAAATGGGTGGTAGGAATATTGAAATTCCGTCTGGGTCAAAAACCACCGTCCACGGATAAAAAGCCTTGAAATATTTTTCACGTTTCGGTTTCAGTCTGTGGATTCCCGAACATCCGAAGCTAAAATAGGTCTAGGTAAGGTAGGTTGTTTAGATACTATGGGCTGGGATTTCTAGGTGAACTAGCATCGAGCAAACCCCCATGGTTTTCTGTCCTCCTCTATAAAAAAAAAGCATCAAACCGTCTGGTCAGTTAAAAGGTATGTATGAAGAAATAAGTATGAAGATTATATACAGCATAGTATATCCCGCTATTCACCCTCGCTTCGTAACGTGTAGCGACGTTACGAATGCACGGCCCGTTATTTATTGCTCGTAAATTAAATGAACGTTACGTTCTGAGCCTTTATTACTTATTTATCTATAAACTCTATCGTAATATATAATTCAATTGTTAAATATCTACCATATTTGATGCTATTTTTAAGATTAAGAGTCTGTCATCTATATTTTAATATTGAATCAAATTTTAACCACGAGATGGCGTTAGCCACGAGAGACTAGGTTTGAAATCAGAAAAATCATTCAGGTTGCGTAAGGGACAAATTCTATGTTAGGTCGATCAGCGAATAGCACATATGAGGGAAGGCAGTTACCATTCTCCATATAACTAAGTGAGCAGTAGTGTACAATATACTAAAATTTGTATATATGTGGCACATTAGGAATTTCATATAAAATAAAAATATCACTGCTTAAAAACTACATTTAAAATTACACTGTACCCTTATCGGGCTTTCTATCCGTTTTGTTACCCTTTCGCTTACACCCCAATATTATCGGACCCTAATTTTAGTTACCTGAGTCATAACGAATGGAATACGCGAAAAACAATTTAGGACGCACAATAATTGCGATGAAAAAGATAGGACTAGGTAATATTGTAAAATTATTTTTGTTAAAATTAGTTATGTAACCATTTTCCAATGTGAGAAGAGCTCAGAATTTTTAGATTTAATAAGTTATCGTAAAAAAGGTTTCTTATTTAAAGGAATATCACAGATCCCTTTATTTGATTCAGTCGGGTTGGAAAAGATATCATTTCATAGAAATGCTATAATACGATTTCAGATTTCCCACAATCTGCATCTCCGACCGGATTATACTGAAATATTGGTTCACGGTCGGCCACCGCTACTGCAGCGCGCCGTTTTAACTTTCAGGAAATTATATTTGGTTTTCCAAAGGATTCGTAACTTATTAATATATTATATTTTTTTTAAGTTGGCGAATGTATGTAATGTTGGATTAATCATAACTCGATAGACTATTTTTAGGTTAATTCTACTTTATACATAGTTACTTTCCGTTTAAACTAAAAAAAAAATTTAAACTACTATTACGTAATAACGATTTAAATAGATTTATTCTGTTTAATTGACGGAAACAAAAAAAGCAAAATATAAAGCGCTTCGTTTCGTAGGTAAAGCTACTTATCTATTAAACACTACTTTAAAAATTTTACATTACCATGAGTGAGAATATTAATGGTCTCATTGTGGAAGTAAAACAGGCTTCTAAGACAACCGCTCCAGTCCTGCAGTGGCCTATACCCAGTCAGCACGTAGGGGTTAAACTGCAGATGCTTCGGCATATCGCGCCAGTGAAGCAACTCCACTCCGCTCTTCTCATCTTTCACTCCCTCTATCTTCTCACACACATTGAGCGCGTCTTTCTCATCGGAAATATCTAGCGACTTTTTCCTCTTCTTCGGCCCGCTGCCGTTTAACTCTTGAATTGACATTTCATACATTTTTCTGGTTATTGGGGAACGTCGTGTTATCTGTGGGCCATGTTCTATCTTAACGTATCACAGTGAATTAGGCTGGATGGTTGTGTAGCGTGGTTAGCCCGCGTGGCATGTGACCGCGGGGTGCAACACGCGTGGCGCGAGGGTGCTGCCTCCGCGGCCGCTCAGCTAGAGGTGGCTGGGGGCAGCCCGCAAGCCTTACGCCGTCGCACTACACTCCTAAATTAGGGTTGCCTCTAATCGTTGCTATGTTTACGACCGCCTCTGTTGCAGAATAGTTAATCGCGTTGTGTAGGGCGAAAGGCCTGGTCCGAGATGCCGAGTGTCGCCACCGACATCTCGGACCAGGACCACCTTACCACGTGGTAAATCAAGTGAGGTACAAACAGACACAGTCACAAGAATGTTATACTAAGTAAAGAAGAAAGAAAAGAAAGGAATACATTTATTTACTACCATAAAAAAAAAATCTTACTCAGCTTATATCAGTAAGTCATTAGAGTGTGGACTGCGGTGCCACACGTAAATAAAAAAAAATGATTACAAAAATAAACATACTAAAGTATTCAGGAAGAAAAAGACAAGACAAGCTGCATGCATAAATATCGTGTTTCAATCCAAAATAGGCATTGACATAAACAGGTTTCCACCGACAGCGCCACCAATGTAGGTATTTTGTAAGTGTTATATTATGTAGATATACTTTAAAGTATAACGTAAGAGCGTAATAAATAAAGCTTGCTATATTTTTCGATGCGAGTGTATTAATGATTTATAATATAAAAGCAAGAGACAACCCTAACGCCACCCTCCGCCCCTACCCCCGGAGATTTGCGCACTGCGCACTCTATCAGCTGATTCCCGCCAGGTGCCATCTGCAATTCTGTGCGAGTGGCTCCACTATTATTAGTTTGATAATGTGTTTTCAGGTTCATCCAAATGGTCTACCATTAGCTTTAACTGCCGTCCTAAGTATTAACTGAATAAACTATTCAGTACTTAATCCAACGCTATATAATTTGCATTTGGTTTTTATTACTTTTGTATTAGTTTACTTTCACGAAAGTATTCTTTTCAAATATCCAAAAATATAGAAGGTTGAATAGATGGACTAGTCGGTTAAAGTTTTAGAGTCTTGAAAGCGAATAGTTAATTATTCGTATAATTATTGAAATACGTTTATTTCGGTTTGTGCTAGGTATCTGACTGAATTATAAAAATGTTGATCTCCAACTAGATAACTCATCTGTATCAACGGGATAAAAGATAATTTCAGTCGCATTATTTAGCTTTACATACATTTATTTGTAGGCACTAGTGTTTTCATAAGAATATTTTTACAATAAATTTACTATTAATTTTAACACTAAACAAAATTTTTACTCTTAAGCACGATTTTCTCCTCAATTTAGACGTTTAATAATACTAGTGTAGTTACTGTCATTTGGTATGCAGAAAGACGAAACTTGGTATAACATCACCAGCGATGCTCTGCTATCTGGGGTGTCCATACATTATGATTATTTATTTTATTTTTTCTATTATTTTTACTGACATAAACAGGTGAACATTTTATAATTTTAAGTTAAAATGTCTTTTTTTAAACAGTGATACAATAAAAAATGTACACCGCAGGGATAGTTAATCCCTTATATTTTTATTATATACCTAATATTGTAATCTCAAAGGCCACAATACGTTCTCACGAAAGTGGATCACCATCATCGAGACACTGTTAAGGTTTGTATTCGCTGATATTTACGTCTACCTTTGTAGTTCCTAACGTTAGAATGCGACTCGTACCTAACAAGTTCAGCCTATGCATATATCAGATAAGATTTGTGAAAATAATCTAATAAAAAATAATATTTTATTTAAAAAACCTTCTTTCTAAGATCCTTGAATAAATAACGCAGAAGATGGAATAGATAAAATAGGATCGAACTATGTCTTTCATTATGTAATTACTTAATTAAGTCAGTGTGTATATTTTTCTTCATATACGTATGTATATTTTATGTTAAAAATCTGAGTTTAATAATAAATAGAAGATTTACAGATATTTTTAGAATATAATAAATTACAATAGATACTTTGTATGAACGCATCCATTTAAATGTCATCATGTTGGCCATCTTTGGCGCGTAAATTGTCATCTGCACTTCCGGTAATATGACTATCTCACTATATTTTATAGGTATAAACAAACCAAAATATTTATGCAATCAACATAAATACATTAAAGATATTTAAATATTGTAGTCATCATCTTTCTATACGTATTGTCAATGAATAACTATTTATGAAAACTACATTTGACAGGAAAAAAGTATTGATGTTTTTACGTCACTCCATTGCTGCCAACATTAGAAACTCGGCTGTCCTGCGTTTGGATCGATGTTCGGGCCTTTATTGCGAAGAAGCATTCTTCAGGGTTCTGCATCACGAACTTGGAATTGCCTTATTAATTTCACACAGCTGATTTGGTGTAAAGTAAAATATTTACGTGACTTAAGGGTAAGTGTCTTTCTTTATATGATCTGTCTTATCACTAGCGTACGTAGGGCTCCATTGAATAGCAGAACGAACATGGCGTCAGCATGTAAATAATTACTGTGACATTTGTCATACATAATATCAATGCAATTTTTTTACCAGACGGGTTCTAGAATAAAGTTCTATGTTAAATTCGGTGATGTGTTATGGAAGTGTTAATATTATTGAAGTTAATTTCGCCACCATCCTTACAGCTGGTGTTGTATATCCTATAATATATAAAAAAAAGTATTTGCGCGAGTTACAGTATTACTACTAATGTGTGACTAAAGTAGTCTATTACGATGAAATCAACTGTGAATAACATGAACTATGATATAATTGCTCACTTAAACTGAAGGCATTGTATCCCAGAGTGGTGTTTATACATTTTGCATGTGCTGCACATGCATTAAACTATGCAAATGCAACATGACCAGTACTGAGGTCTAAAAGATTTCATGTTTTTCAGCTTTTACTGCTTGGAACGAGCATTGGTACCATTTTATGGTAAGTGAAAGTGCCCAAGGTGCTTTCCTATTTGAATTAATCATGCTGAAATATACAGAAGCATTGATAGTGTTCTACATTGCATGATTCAACAATATTCAGCTTGAATTAACAAATATCACTGATACTAGTTAATCCCTATTTCAATGCAAATTTTACTTTTAAAGTATAATGCATACTCAAATTCTCGGATTGCCAGCTGCAAAATGTAAACATAGGATAGGCACTTCATAAGATGTTTAGTTTCAGTACTATTACTTAGAATGTAAAATGTACAGAACTGTATTTTGTTTCCATTCAACATTTTACTTTCATAAAAAATATATATTTTGGCTAAAATATGAAAAACTAAATGAAATAATATAGTTTTGAATCCCTCCGTTTGATTGCAGCCTTGGTTTTTTTCTATTAAAAATGTGTGCTGTGGTGATTATAAGAATTATATAATGAAAGCACAATTATAACCATATCTTCAAGCTTTGCTTTCTCTCTTTTGGAGCTTTTTTTTACTTGGCGTAAAGCTTATTGTAACATTTTCCAAAGAAATCTTTACTTCAAAGTCACAATATGGTGCAACAGGATACAATGTAGTTTTTCAAAAAGTAGACCAATGTTAAAAAATATTTATTTTCAGATTATTTTTTATCAATACATGGTAATGTTAATAAAATAGCACAAAATGGTGTATTTAACAAATTCATTTTCTTATCACTTTTAATATTTTTCGATCATTAAAACACTGAAGGCCATTTGATAATATATGGTTTCTTACATATTATAACAATAATGTTCAAGAATTACTGTTTGTGTATTTCTTTAGCACATCAAAAAAATGCCAAAACTATGCTGTTGTCATGTGTTATTGACAAATGCATTTCGCTTATTGGCATTTTATACTTTGAATTGTATTAAAAGTATTCTATTGAAAGATTGTATGTTATATTATGCTTATAATATGCATTGTATGAGTTTGACATGTTGCTGAGAATTTATAATGCTTTGAAAATGCCAATAATCCATGGCTCACAGTAACAAATCCATTCTCATGGTACATTAAGCTGGGAGGAAGCTTTTTGAGCTTTAAGATTGATTGGACGGTTGCTGTTTTCAGATGCCGCGTACCCGTAGGAAGCACTACGCGTCGCATTCCAGGTCTAGATCAAGATCTTACGAGGCGAAGCGCCGTCGTATCGACGATGGGTGCAGGGAGGAGTCCTACAGGAAGCGAAGCCGGAGTCGCGAACGTGATAGGTTAGTCAATTTCTTTTGTTAGTTACTAACTTTTAAATAAAACACTTTAACGGTTTAAAACGCGATATATTGGTTAAACTTATTTGAAAATGATTTTTAACTTCGGCCCAATTAATTAGTGAATTATCAAATATCAGTTAAACAACTGATATGTATCGCGTTTTAAACCATTAAAGTGTTTTATTTAAATGTGTACTACTCGCGTAAACTATAGACAGTAGTTACTAACTTGTTAAAGCTTAATCTAATAAATCTGATAATATAACTGGAATTTATATTATACAAATTGCCTTAGATAAACTTCTATCTAACTTGCAATGTATGGTTCTTATATTAAAAAAAATCCAGTATTAAAACATTTTTTATCTATATATAAATAATGAAACACCAATTCCTTACGTACATTTGTTGAATAAAGCCTAATCCATTAGTGCCAATCGCATTTAATATGAAATAGCTTTCTCTAGCGACGCGCTTATTATTATTAGCTTACATTATTTTATCTAAGTGCTATTATCGAATGGAATAAGGAATATAGAAACGTGTCGAGAAGTTTCTAAAAACCTTTTTTATGTTGAAATTAACGGTCAGTTTGTATTTAAGTATCAGTCCTTTATTGTTAAAAACAAGCCACGACTCGTTGAAATTTTATTAATACTAATATCTCAATTAGAATAATCGCTCAATATAATACGGTAATTTTATTATAACATAAAAGCGCCATCTGTTACCTGTATTGTGTACAAAGATGAACTAACTTCGCTCGCTAAAACGTAAATGTCGTTTACACATAATAATGTCTTCTCTCCTCCAGAGGTCGCCTTTAGCAAAATTTTTGTTTCTGAAATTAAATGTGTATACAATTAGTATGTAGTTGTACACGTGGTTAGACGAAGAATAAATTACGTAATTTGTTTAAAATCATAGTCTCTTAAAATATACGGTACTTAATTGTTCTCAATTAATTCCATAACGGGTATTAGCGAATTAATGATTTTTTTTCTAGTCATTTGAGGTTTTTCATAACTGAAAACTTAATAAATATTGCGTACAAAGTTCCCTTTAAAGGGCACCATGCAGTCAGCATTGGTAAATTACAATTCGGACGGCTCATTTTCCTCGAAAGTAATGGTTTGTTTGTAAGCGCATAAGGAAAAAGAAATGATCGTATGTGTAAACAAAGTCTCGATTATACCACAAATTTCGTGTCAAGACGTAATCGACTTGACACCGGCATTATGTATGCAGATTGTTAAAATTCACCGTTACGATTCGATCTCACGCCCTCTTTTAACGAAAAAGGGTAAAATGAGTTTAAAATTACCGGTCAATCGGTATTGGATGATTTATTCGGCCAGGAATTGGGCCACGGCACTCATCGTGAAAGGATATAAAAACGAGATTATTGAAGTCGATGTGCGGTCGAGTTTTTGTCGCCCGCATTTCGGAGGTGCCAATCAGTTAAGGTAGGACTCGGATGAAATATGTAGGTTTTAATGCTTTGGCAGTGCCTTGTAAGGTCCGGGTATACATTCCAAAGAAGATACCGCTAACGGGATGAAGCTACTTAAAAATATGGAAATAGGGTAGGCTTTTTGGGAACTTAGGAAAAAAATAAGAAAGACAACATCGTATAATAAATTGTGTAAGGCTACAACATCGTATGATTTATTTACCATTTGTTATTGTTCTAAATCTTTATTAGTGTTACACCAATTTGTAATAAGTTCTCTTTGCATATTACAAGGACTCAACTTCACTTCGATACAGCAAAAGTAGAAAAAATAGAATGTGACCCTTCTATGCCAAGTTAGGTAGCATACATGAACAATTTTTTTAGGTGTGAAGAATAACATAAAATTTGCTTCGTGGGAACGCTGATGTTATCGTTGTGTTAACATTCGCCGTTATCTTGAATGATGAGTAACGATAACGACTTGCATTTTTATTTGTTTTAAAAATTATATGCCGCAAGGTACGGCTGTTGCTGGCGGTTATTTGCTACTTCCCTTTCTCATATGTCTGATATTTATTGACTCATAAAGACAATAATTAAAGCAAACACATGTATTATAATTGACCGGGTAAACAGTGTACATGTTGGCTTGTTTGTTTTGTTCCGAGAAACCTATGTTTAAATTTCAATATTTATGTTTTAAAAAAATTTCCTTACGATGCGTCCATATATGGCAATATAGCGCCATACTGGACGCCGTGTAAATCCAATTAACACTCGATCGTTTATACAGAATTATTGCATTAACTTTAAAATGGAATTAAAATCACGCAAAATTACCTTAAACGCGAAATTTATTGTACCCGACAGTGGCTTATGCGCGACTTTGTATACAATTAAACGATCTACATGATGAATGACGAGCGCGTAAGAGTGCTTATAAAAATTACTTTATTGGGTTCAGCGTTGCAAAGTCGGCTGCTAGCCCGCGTCGGCAGCCTTGCGATTCTACGAAACTTGTTTCAAGTCCCTGGCTAACTTTTTAACAAGGGGCACGTATTATTTCGAAACCGCATCGCTCGGAGACAAGTTCATTTGCGGATTGCGCGTAATGAAATCATTTACATTACTTGAGTTTTTGTGTCTTGTGTATGTTTGAACAGTCTGATATCTTAAACCCAAATTTTAAGCAGTTTATGACAGTCTTATCGTCATATTTTTTTTGTAAAATAAAACACGACCTCACCGAACATAGATTTGAATTAGATCAGTAACTGCATTGCGTTTGGTTTGCTTTCATTTATGCTGTTACCAATCTTATAAAAAAGGCTTCTAAATATCCAATATTGTGAGAAATAATGGTAAAGTGGGCGGAAGTTTCATTATTTGATAAGTCCCCGCACCCGATTCATTTCTGTTTGGCCATTAAATTACGTCTGACGGCAAAATCCAATACGGCAAACGTATTGAATTATTTCGTGTTGCTCATCTGTCAATTTGAAATGTTGTTTGGTAATCTACTCCAAATAAAACACGGAACATATTCGGTTGGCCGTATAAGGCTGGCCCCTTTTTTATCGACGTTTAAATGATTAGTGTATTTGTTAATGGGGCTAATTGTTATTTTAAATTGTTAAATATTTATTATTATTAATTATATGTACAATTCGATTTGATGTCATACCGATAAACATTTTCGATGTTTAGTTGTTAATTCCATTTTTCTCATAACACAGATCTAGAATTGGTACCTAAACAAAACCCAAATAATATCTCAATCAAAGACTCCAAGTATAAATATTTAAAAGCGAGTTTGAGGTATCTACCTACAAATATGAATTTGTTTCTGCATGATTGCTCGTGTAACCATTTGTATAGTTAGAATAAGGTCAAAACTAAATTCTTTGCGAGGTAAATATCCACAATCTATACACTACGTGTTAGAGCCAACATTTTAATATTGTTAGTGTGCAAACACGAAATCCGCCGTCCATGTCAGACAAAGGGCCGACAGCTATAATTGCGAGTTAGCCTCAATTTGCGCGCACGATGTGTTGCGAATATGATTGTTTAATCACCTGCTGGGGTCAATCAAGGATTCCGTCTAACTGTACATTATGAGAGCCGATAGCTTCTGGGGGCAATCCTTAAGAGTTTCTCAGCTTACATTCTTTTCACTCCTTGACATTCGTTTTATACCGGTTGAATAAAATGTTTTTTTTTTTTCAAAGAAAAGTCCCCCGACACGTATAACGCTCGCACTGGTCCAATGTATGGGTTATATTATGTATATATATTTATAAATCGAAGAAAGTAGATTCGTTAAACTAAGTACAACTGGAATAAACAGTATCGAAATTATTGACGGACTCGTTGGTCAAATGGTAGCAATGTATGTCTAATAATCAACGGGTAGGGGGTTCGATCCCCACCAGGTCCAACATCTTTCTAATTTTTCAATTTATAATTTTTCTGAAACATGTTGAACTTCGTCTGGAAATTTTGATATTAAATGGGTGGTAGGAATATCGAAATTTACGTCCGGGTTCGCAGATGAAAACGCTGTGAAGTTTAATCACGTTTCGGTTTCAGTCTGTGTATTTCCGAATATTCAAAGCCAAAATGGGTCGATAGCGCATCTTGATAGATTTTATATGAAATACTGTCTATAGGTTACGCGAGTAGTACACATTTAAATAAAACACTTTGACGGTTTAAAACGCGATATGTTAGTTAAACTTATTTGAAAATTATTTTTAACTTCGGCCCGACGTTTCGGATGCTTTGCTGTATGGCTGGGGTATTTCACTTCCCATTAGATGAAACCCGTGCTTGTCTCTATTATTAAAAAACAACTCCGTCCGAGTTACCGAGGATTTCCGAGTGTCCAAAGCAAAAAAATACGTCGACAACGCACCGTGTACAGATGTAACATGGTTGTGGTATTTGAAAACTTTATTAATTTTTTACATGTTATTGCACATGAAGGCACTATATAATTTAAAAATCGAAAATAAATTGAAAAAAAATTTCGATTTTTAAATTATGGTTGTGGTACTTCGTTTTTTATAAAGAGAATCCCATGCGTGTCCATCGTCACTGAATAAAAAATGCTGCAATTCGCAAAAACCAGTACCGATGAATAACGCGATTTTCGCCTTTTCATTGTCCGCATTAGATTTGTTTTGATTTGTCATTACTTTCGCAATAATGTCAAGGGCTCCGAGAAGGTCGCGCGCCAAAAAGACAATCTTTATGTTATCTTTTGGGTTTTAACTGGACTCACGTCATCGAGGCACAGGTTCAAATGTAATTGAAAGAAATTATAGTGACCGCTGAAGGGCGACGGTCTTACAGTACGCGGTACCGTTACGTTTACGGGATTTTATGAGTTTACACTTGCATTGGTTATGTGGATATGTTCGAATGATTTGCTAAAAATATTATTATTTCTTAATCTACGGCTGTGTGAAAAATTGTATTCGTTTTATTTAAATTAACAGCAGTGCTACATAGTACACGCAGTAGAGTAGTGTATATCTGTATCAAGTCCTTGTTTAAATTGATTAACGTTTCCTTAAGTCTATTTCAATTGCAAACTACTCGTTCCTTAACAATTTAATCTAATGCTTGAAAAGTAAGCAAAGCTTACTTAGGTTTATTTTTACACCTGATTGTAAGCTTCCACATTGTTCATTAACACCAACAAGTGTAACTACTATACTTATATTTCTCGTTTTAATCCATTGATTATTATTTTTTTCAAAGTTATGTATGGTATAAAATATACAACATAACAGTTTTTACCAGAGAATTTCGGCTATTTTGAGCTAAGAGTGAAGATATAGTGAGCAGGTGACAGACTAGCTATGCAAGGGGCGGGCGTGGTGCGGTGGTGGTAGCTAGAGGTGTTGTTCTTGACACAGTAAAACTAGAAGTGCAGTAGGTGCAGCTTCGACGCGCAACCCACGCTCAGCGCGAGCTTTTTGCGAACCGCAAACGAGACTAACGTAACGACTAACAACTGTTCTCTTTACTTTTTGCCACACTTTTTCTAACGCCTTGCTAAACCTAACTGTTATTACGATTCTGTTTCTTTTGTTAATGTGAAATTTTATAACGACTTGGAAACTTGTTCGGGAGTGTTCACATTTAAGTTTAGTACTTACACGATTATTGTAAAAAGAAGAGATAACTTAGTATCAGTGTAATATATGTTATAACCTTAAAATTCATGAAGAGAAATCTAAATTCGCATAAATTAAAAGGTCGTAAAGTTTTACAACTGTAACTTAATAAACGGAACTACACGTTGAAGGATTAAATTTTATTAATTGGCCTTGTCTTGTCCTTTTTTGTAAAGTAAAAGCGCTCACTTTCACACAAGTTTAATATATTATTTGTTATGATCTTAATTATTTCTACTTTGCTACTTATTAAAAAAAAAATCTAGATATTGATCAACGGAACACTTCCACGTGACCGAACAGATTAAATTTATTTACAGTGTCTGTACATCCGTATACACGGATTCAATTGCAAAATATTTCTGTACCCAGCCATTGCGAACTTTGAAACAATTCGTTTTAAAGCCAAGCTACATCTATTTCGTCTACATTGAGCATTTAAAAGTTTCTTCTTTTCACGACGTGTGTTGGCAAATGATACGTCTTCAAACTCAGTACCTGCTTTTATAACAATGTTTGCTTTTACTAAAGCCAGACATTTTTCTGGAGAACAGAGTTTAAATTCCCGATCAGAAACGAATTCAAGTATATATACTACTAGACACGGATATTCCTATTTACCACAACTATATATCGTTCTTCCTATATCACTCATCTTCAGTCACGCGTAGATAATTATCGTTAACCTTTCTCAATTTAAAACTTCGTGCCCTAAGTTTTAATTGGTTTGACACCAGCGAGCCCAAGGTAATGATCATTAGGAAAATCGTTTCCTATTACGCGTATCATATGCTCTCGAATTAACAAAGGCTTATTCAGTTGGCCTC